CGTGAAACTGTCTGGTTTTAGAAAGAGTGAATTAATAAAGCAGGGCACATTATGGTGCAATGCAACATAGAAAGCACCATACAAAGATGTAATAGAGAAATGTCTGTAATAAAGAGGTGTCTGTGAGGAGAGGTTTATTACCATGCATTGCACTTGCCCAACATGTTACGAACCTTTTAATGATGTCAGTGTGTTTTGAATAACAATTGCAAACGTCTGTGCATCTGCAGGTTGAGATATGATATCAAAGCCCCAATCCAAAGCATTATCACGCAAACTAAAGAAGTTCTGCTTGATCTGTTTAAATACTATATTAAAACGTAGCATGATTTTTGCTTTTACCTGTGTTGAAAATAAAAAGATTAGTTCCACACATATATAAGTTAAGTTGTTTTTATTTACAAAGTCAATTTAAAGCTAATTTTGCTGGGTAGTCATTAGAAAAACAACCAGGGACGCCGGAACTGGGGGACAGCCACCCCCTGTTGCCCTTCACCAGGAGGGGTAAGGGCCCGGCAAAGGTGCCCTTTCAATTTAAAGGATTGCCTTGGCGAAATCTTTTACGAATTTGCTTCAGAAAACGCAAGAAATGCAGTCATCGAGCTTCGAGAATAGCGCAATCGCCTGGCGTAGAACCCCCTCGCACCCCTATCATCCAATAAATAGAAAACATGATTGGGCGAAGTTCAACTCCCGATGTTATGCAAACATCTCTTAGTGTACATCAATTCAAAAGTGCCCTTTCATGAAAATCTGCCCCCTTGCCTTCATTTCGTTGTGGCATCCCTGACCACAACCCTTCATGTCTCACACTGTGGCTTTGATTCTCACTCAAGACATTTAGGGACGGACCAGTAGAAACGTGAATGGGAAAGTTTCGACCATGCACATATTTTGGTATGGTTTGCTTGGTATGTCATCTTCTGACAGTATGTTTCATAACATTTTTACTTATTCTAATTGTTCATCCCTTATATGAATTGGTAAATGCTCTGTAGAAAATTGATCGATTCTTTTCTGCAGGTATTTATGTACAATTTTCAGGTAGCCAGTAGTTTTTGACTACATTTTTAAAACAGTAGCTGTAGTTATAGCGAACTACATTTTGCCTAAAAGTAGCCAAATAGTCGACTACTTTTCAAACAGCAAATCGCTATTCGCGGTTACATTACAGTCTGAGTTAGTATAGATGCTCCAAATACAGTAAAACTAAAAAATATAGCGTAGCGAAATAGTTTGCTACATGCAGTAGCTGTAGTCAGTAGCGAACTACCTTCGTTCAAAAGTAGCAGTAGTTGTAGCGGACTACATATTTTTGAAGTGGCTGTAGTTATAGCAAACTACAAGAATTTTGTAGTCAACCCACCCTTGCCCCTCCCCCTGCTTAGGAACTCTGTGGAGTCTCGATCTGGAGAGTACATTGATGAGTGAATCACATGACATCACAAGGATTAGGATTAAGATTAGAATTTAATTAAGGTAAGGTTTTGGATTAATGGTTAGGATTGTATTCAAACAAATACAGTGTTGGTCACAAATCTAGCCTTACCACAAGATTAGGTTGGTCGTGAACAATAAACAAAATGAAATTCCCGGGTGCTTGTCGAACAAGATGTAACCTGTAAATATTGTTGCCAAACAATGGATCCCATTTCTGATTCTTGAATAAAAAAACTACTCCTCTACATGAGGCTAATAAACCCGATGATGCGCCGGGCGATGGAGGTGTACGAGGCGATGTAGGTGCTTGAGCCATCATTCGTTCATAGGTTTATTTAATACCCAGTAAATTCCTCGTTTATTAAATATTCCACTTTCAATTTTACTGTAAAAGCTAGGCCTCTACTCATCGCCGCCAGCCAAAATGCGATGTAATTTTGATTCTTTTGTATCCATACAACAAAAATCAAGTAAACTTGGACGAAATACTAAGTTCATTGCGATTTTTTTCTTTCCGCCTTTGCAACATACAAATATTTTTGGTTTTATTTTCGATTTCGGGGAAACAGCGCTAGGCGAAAGCGACCGTGGTAAACAAAGAAACTGGGGACTACTATGACGTATTTGAAACTATTACGTAATTTTGGCTAAAGTTATTAATATGTACACGCGAAAACACGCGATGGAAATCTAGGACCGGGGGCACAGAGCCGGGGGCAAGTGCCCCTTAGATAATCCAACTGAGTGTAAGAACCGGGCCTTTATGCTTAGTTTTTATCGATAATTTTTGGAAAACACGTTCACGTTGATGTTGTTGACTATGACTAGCCTCCTCCGCAGGCATCGCCTTTAGATTGGCGGGCAAAATTTGCTTGCAGTACTACCATAGATTGGCATAGAATTATTCTATGGTACTACGAGATGCCTGCGGAGGAGCTTCCAAGCTTGGTGGGATTAGCGGATCACTTCCTTTAGCCAATCAGATTACGAGCTTCTTAGGATCGTGATCTGATTGGTTAAAATGAAGGCGGACCAGAAAGTAGACGGGTACCTACAAAATGGCGAAATAGCTGGTATGATGGTATCCTGGCGTGAAACTTTAAACTTTAGAACTTAAAATAGTTTAATTTAGGTTTTTAGTTGTGTTTTTAAACTTGATATGACATAAATAAGTAGTAAAGATACATTTTTAGATTTTTATAAGTTAGATAAAAAGCACAAAACACACCGCTAACTTTTTAGTCGCAATTCAATTGATCGGTAAATTAGAAGTTCTGTTTTTATCTGCCTTATCTGTTTTATACCGAACGTAACCGAAGGGTAAATTACAAAAAAAAAATTTAAAAAGAAAAGTGCCCCATCAGTCCATACTTCCCGACTCTGCTAGCCCGTATCGGTCAAGTCCGTCTCGTGCTAGCCGCTAGAACGCCGTATGTTACGTTTGAGCTAGATTTCGGCTAAACTCAACGCTATCGTCAGAGGCGGTTTTCAATAGGTGGAGTTACCAACCGGTTTCGAACGAACTACGGGGGAGGGTGCCGGCGGCCCCCAGACCATTATGCCTGGCACCCTTTTCGCAAGATCCTATGATCGGTAACTACCACACATAAGTAATAGTAACGTTTCGGTATATATGTACGTAACAGTCGCCCGGTGTGGTGCATGTGGGACGCTTTAGCTCCGGTGTTTACCGAACCTTTGAAATGAACGCATGCGCGATAATCTGACACTGGCAGACGTAGCGCATGCGTGGGCATTGTCCAATCAGAACGCAGGGAAATTTCGCGCCGGTCCCGCGAGTTCGAGACATGTGCGCGACGGCTCAGAAATTTGTATACAACCTTGTTTTTAATAGTGAAAATATTAAAGTAAATACATATTATTCACATGTTTTTGCTTGTCGAAGGTTGAAATTTAAAGAATGTGGCTAGCCAAGGCGATAAATCGACTGGAAAAGATGAAGACGAAGTGAAATCTACACCGTCAATTATTAAACCAAGAGGTCACACCGCCGTAGATTTCTAGTACTGATACGAAAGGTACAAAGCTTTATATTTTTATATTTTGTACTGTTTTGTTTCCTTTTTTGACGATAGTTGATGAGAAAATATACTTGTCTAAAGCTTGTTTCAATTGTCAAAGGAGGAAAGTTCTTAGTTTGGCTTCATTAGTATGTGTGAGGCAGTGTGAAATATGTGTGATCATTTGTAATTAAGAATCCTATTTATAATAATTATTAACTTCCTTAAATATAGCCTGGTATATTCTTGTATACAGAATACACCCTTCTGCAAAATATCTCACTTTGGCCATAAAGCCTAACGTCAATCACAGAAAATGTTGGCCAAGGTCAGTACTTTCAAGGAAGTGTGTATATATATTGTCTTGAATTGTATGACTCAGCTAGGATATATGAAATGTTTGACAGTAAACCTCCAAATATAACCCCCCAGTCTGTAACTTGTCTGGCATTGTAAGTAAGAGTTATAAACCGAGTAGGAGGTTTATAACTGATATATTGACCCGAGGACGCGTAGCGTCCGAGGGGCAATATATCAGTTATAAACCGACGTACTCGGTTTATAACTAACTTATATCACACTTGCGGAGGTTTTCCAACATATTTTGTCATTTTCAAAAATTTTTAATGAAAAATTCTCGCGTTTTGTCTACAAGTTTAATCTAATCATTTATTCAAGGTCTATAAGCTAGTTATAAACCTTGGACGAACAAAGAAAACCGACGCAAGTGTGATATAAGAAGTGAAACAAGTGAGAAAACCCCCCAACACTATATTAAGAATCTGCACTTTAAGAAATTGGCGCTCAACCTCGTACCTAAATGGGTCGACTTGTACCAAGTATTTTTATCTATCTAACTAGAATGTAGGGAGGAAGCTAGAGGAATACCTGCACAAGGGCACAAAATGTGTGACTTATTACTGATGCAATTCAGGTTTGTTGTCGGCACTACGCCAGATAGTTTTATAACAGCACTCTAGAAATTTATTTTTAAAGATGTTTATTGATTATTGTTATAAAGAGATCGATCATTGTTTATCATGTTAACTATTATTAAAATTTTGCAAAAAACCTTTACATTCTCGTACACACTTTGTTTTGTTTTAAGACTAGAGACATATCAACAGCTAAAGAGTTCTACAGTAAAAAAAGTTCTCATATAATCTAAAGAGTCAATACATAATGGTCTTACTCTTCCCGAAACGTTGAAGTTCTTGTATTTTTCAGGTAGTTGTATCCCTATCAATCCAAAGCTTTCTTGTCCAGGGGCCATTTGTTCGAAAGCCAACATTAACATCATTAACCCTACGTTAACCAATAAGGCTACGTTTAGACTATATATAACCTAAGGCTACGTTTAGACTATATCAGATAGTTTAGACTATATCAGATAGCCATAGAATGTAGCTACAACTTTCAGAAGCTGAGTGAAACAATGTTTCTCTGTTGCAATAATCCACCAACAGCTTTTGAAATTGAATATCATTATAGTTATTATGGTTATTATTAATTTACATCAATGTTTTTTTTAAATTTTAGTTAAGAAGTATAATTTTTGACTTCATGCCACTCATCGCCACTGATAGTAAAATTGCATTTTCTATAACTAGCCAGCTTTGGCAACCTGATTTTGCTGACATAGGAAAATAATGATTGAATAGGTAGTGATAAAGTGCAGGGTACTCCTGCCATTTCTGCCATTGTTGTACAATATTGCATATGTCGTTCCACACCCAACAAATGCATCATGTTTTTTGACAATCCCTGCTTTAACCTCTCTTGATAATCAAACGCTTCATCCTGCACCATTTCCTCTTTGTTCGGTAACATTATCCTTCCACTTAAAACAGCTGCAATGCACTGCGCTTGTGCTGCGAAGGTTAGAAACGGCAAAATCCTTATGCAAAGTCCGATGAATGACAAACTTGGGAATTTAGTAGAAAATGTATGTTTATACAGTGATGTCACACAACTATTGGTTACATTAATATCGCATTCTGGTTCCAGAAACGGAAACGAATAATTATAACCAGTGCACAGAATAATTGCATTCACATTTTGTAACAACTTTTCATGGTTTATCTCAATACTCCCATCTTGAAAACAAGTTGTTAATGTTCCTATCACCTCTTGAACGTTTTCAGGAAATTTAACCGGAAGCTTATTGCGTAAATGAACAAGGAACACTTTCTTGGAAAATTTTGAAAGTTCCATGGCGATATCCAATCCAGAAGAACCTGCACCCAACACAACCACATCTTGATCTTGGTAGTCTTCTGGTTTGTCGTAGTTAACACTGTGGATAACCTTTCCAGGAAATGAGTCAAATCCAGGAATTTCTGGAAACCGTGGAACTGAATAATGACTGTAAACAGAGTGACATAGCAATGTTATCAAACAGGGACATTACGTTTTGAATATCAGATGAGGGACATGCATATTAGTGATGGGCGATTACTGATTACTTGGTATCGATACCACCCGATACCAGGCCCAAACAGCAAGTAGTCGATAACTGCACGGTATCGAAAAAGTGTTTCCGATTACTTTTAAAATTAGACATTCATTATAATCTTGTAGTTGTGTCATCGTTTTCATGGTTATTTCTAATAAAATTTATGTACTTTTTGGTATTTTGCTGCATTTAACAATTTAATCAAACTTCCTTTATACTTTATTTGACATTCTATTCTCGCCAACAGAATAAATTATGAAAAAGGTGGGAAATAAAGTAATTTTTTATTTTTTATGGATTAAAATGGCGGATCAAATCGTTACTGTTAAAAATATGTAACTTTTTGAAAATTGGAGGAAGTAATCGTTTGGGTAATCGATACCTCGATACTTTAACCAAAAAGTAATCGGTATCGTATTGAAACCGATAATGGTGGTATCGCCCATCACTAATGCATATATCCACTCTAACAGGGCCTCAGTTATCTGCATGAGTGAGAAAATGATGTTAATTATTTTCATAATATCTAGTACTGTAGTAGTCTTGTATTTGGAGACAAAGATATAGATTATGAAGGGTGCATGGGCCTGTGTTTTTGGACTCAAGATCAAAGAGAAACTTATTCATATCGGAAATACGAGGATTACGGGAACCACTGAGTATTTTAATAAAATATAAAGCAATGGTAACTCTGAAAATAAACATTTTAAAATTAATTAATTTACATTTTTTTAAGTATTTTTTTAATTGAACGTTTAAAATTAAAATGTTTATTTTCGAGTTACCATTGTTTTATATTTTAAATAAGAGGATATTATCTTCATGGACCTTCATGTGTGCCAGCCATGATAAAATAGCAAACATGGAAACAAAGCCATTGGTGCATTATACATGCAATAAACAGTAAATTCTATTTGTACAATAACCTACCCATTGCATACAACAATGGCATCAAAAACAATTTTATGAGTTGTTTCGTTAGTTAAATCCTTCACAACAACATCCCATACTTCTTTGTCTTTATTTCCTGGTTTAATGGACAGAACTTGGTGGTTAAATTTAATATATTTCTTGAAATTGAAGTGCTCTGTGTAGGTTTCTAAATATTTTTGGACGTCTGCATTTGTTATAAAAGATGGTAGGTTCTGTGGAAATGGTAGATCTGGGTATGCCATCACCTCTTTGGGTAAATTTGTCCTGGAAGAAATCAGACATACTGATTAATCTATTTTGTGTAAGAAAGGGTAAAATAACAATGTAGGATGTGTTGGACAGTTATGAAGAGAAATTATCACAGATAGTCTGGTTACCATCTGGATAACATCAGAGAGCTTTAGATTTGAGTACAAGTACAACAACCTTCTTACAGGCATGGCAGCAGTTAGGTTTTTTTTGCTTAGTCAGACGTCTGTGTGCAGGGACGTTGCAAGGTATGTGTGTTTTTGTCTCCCGATATTTTGACCAAGTTTTGCTGAACATTTTGCCAAGTCATCTCGACCACTAACTAATATTACTTTTCCCAAAATTGTTGGGGGGGGGGGGGCAATAAAATTTTTCTGTACATTATATTCTCAAATTTATTTCTGCTCCAATTATTCCCACTTATTTGATTAAAATACGTTATTTACATCAACAATACCTAAGGTTTTTGTACATTGCTGTACTATTATGTTCACTAACAGCGTGTCCACTGTCCTTTGTATAACGCCAAACTCCGCCAATGTCGCATGCTTTTTCAAATGCAACAAAGTGAATTTGTGGTTCATTTACCAAATATCGACACATTGCCAGACCTGCAGCGCCAGCACCGATAACAGCGACGCGTGTCTGAACCATTTTGTAGCCCAAAGTTTGATGTGAATTTTGTTTGAAATTGTCTCGACCACTCCTTCACGTAAAATTTTCGTTTGGAATATTAAATGAATTGTTTGTACAAGGATTGTACTTCATATAAGCAAATATGAAAAATACCGCTTGTCACATTTCCTGATTCAGATCTACGTGCATGTTATTCGAAAAATACAATGGGAAACGTCATTTGGCCAATGGCAGTTACATCACTCAGCTATTTGTGCAGAACGCCAACTAAGAATATTCTTCAGTAACATTTATCAAAGTCTGAAAAGATCTACCTCAATTACACTTGATTAAAAAGTGATATAAGAAGTGCATTAATACGTCATACTCTCCGAAATAGTCCTCATTAACATTGATCAAAACCTGAAATCGGCTCTGCCTCTGCAAAACAAGGTACTTCCAGTACTTTATGTACTACAAAACAACGTGGAACAAGCATGGCCGCTGAACTTGAAGCGATTTTAGGAAGGCTTCTTGTTCCCGACAACGCTGTGATTAAACAGGTAAAAATATACTTGTTAAATGGACCAGGTACTATAGTTA